CACTAAGTTTATGCGCCAATAGTTATGTAAACGGGCTAAACCCATAATTCGCTAGTTTTCCGAACAAAAATAACTGAACCGTAAACGCGTACTGTTACATACTGTAGACAATAATGTGCGCGTATCAATTATAGTGATCGGGCGGCGGTTGTATTGGAAATCACACCTGTACTCGCGCAGTAATACGGGTAATAACCATAATATGACGTGTTTGCTGCGTATCGCCGCTACGCTTTATATTATCGCATTATGGAAACCTAATAACATAATTGTTGATACACGTGTAGCGTTATGAATTATACGATTCGTAATTGACGCGTCGGACGATATTGCACCGCGGCCGCCGGCGAGGACGAGTAAGAGCAAAGAATTGACCGATACACCGACGCAGGCACGCCGCGTGCATCGGGATATTCGTATTGCAGTCTCGGTGACGGCGACAACGTATTATTATTTATAATATGCATAACTAGGTTAATTAACGATATTGCACATGAGGTACGTTCGTAAAATATTATTATATTTATTTGCGCGTATGCCGAGGCGGCGGCGGGCGGTGTGTCGGAGGCGTACAACCGGTTGTCGGGGCGGGTGCTACTATGGGTGTTTTTTTTTTTTTTTATCCTAAAAGAAGGTGCATACATATATATATATATATATGTGTATTATTTAGAGCGCGAATATATATATAATAGTATATAATATCGTGTGTTATATAATAATATATTATACTTGATATGTTTTCCCGTACGAGAGAAAGGTACAGTGCACACGCCGTATTGTTGGACGCGGTGCGAAAGGGAAAATAGTATAGCGGATCAGACAGGAGTGATAAAGAAAAAAACAAATCGCATAATAATAATATGGGACCGACGACGGTAGTATCCGAATATTATCGCGCTCGCGATGTCAAGGAGATCGTGTGCGACGTGACACACTGTACTATGGTGGCGGTGTCTCCGAATCAAATAATACGCGTGCCAACGCTGCGTCACGATTGGTTTGAGAGGGATTTTTCCACAAAATGCAAAACTACCAAAATCCCAATTTGAATTTAGAGAAAAACTTGGAACTCGAGACGCTCTCATACACCTGTCAATGGATATTTATTCAAACCTAAATAAAAATATACAAAACGATAGGTATTTTCTTAGATCTTAGACATTAGCATTTTGACAGTATTTCTCATAAAAAAAACTAATAGCAGTTTTAAAATCTATCGGAATAGTTAATAACCCACATATTCTCCAAAAATCTTACTTAACTAATGTGGAAAAAAAAATGAAAATATCACGTACACTAAGTGATAAAATTATCATTACCACTGGAGTTCCCCAAGGAACAATTTTATCGCTCATTCTATATTTAATATACGTAGTTTCATTAGCGAACCTAAACTTGTGTGAAAAACTTTTTTCTTGTGCAGACGATACGGCGATCCTTATAATTGGTACCGATTGGGAAAAAGTCCATCATAAGGCCGAAACAAATTAGCACATAATAAATACATGGTTTTTAAAACATAATCTTCGAATAAATTATGTGGAATCAAACTTTATAGCTTTCACGCTAGATAAACTAACTCAACCAACTTTTGCGTACTATAATCATTAAATTACGAAAACTACACTACCTTTATATTCAATGCAAGAAAATACTGAACATACAAACACTACGCATGATTTATTTTGCTATAACTCAGTCGGTTATCCAACATGGTATAACCGCGTGGGGTCGATTAGATACTGTTGCAAACAACAAGATACTGAGAGCTCAAAAAAGCATAATAAAATTGATATTAAACAAACCTAAAACACATCCTTCTAAATAATTATTCGAGGAATTCAATGTTTTTTTCTATACAATAATTATTTCAAAGAGATGCACTTTATTTCACACATAAATTGAATTTAATTGAATTAAAACCAACATACTACAATACACGGCAGGAAAATAATTTAGAGATCCCTACTATCCAAACGCTCAAATCAAGCCTATGTTTTTTACAGATAGGTATTAAACTATTAAACAAAGCCCCGTCTCATATCATAAATTACATATCATACAAACAAAACAAAAAGTGTGTTAAATTATGGCTAAACCATATCCCTAACATTTAAGAACACTTGTCTATATGATGTGAACCTACTTAAATTGTTTTGTTCCTTACTTAACCTATAATACCATTCTATCTAATATTATTTCCTTATTTCTATATTTTATTTTTACTATTCTATCTATGTTCATATTATCTTAATTATGTATTCATTTTATTATTAGTACTCCAATTTTACCATGGAGAGGTTATCCTGGATGGTGAGTTGGGCCATTATCCTCGATATTATTTTATTGTAATTATATTGAAATGTATCTACAGATGGCCAATAAATATTATTTTATTATTATTATTTTATTATTATTATTTTATTATTATTATTTTATTTTATAGAAGTGTAGTATTGTTTATTATTGTATGATTATTTTAAAATATGTTTCTCATAAAAATCATGGGTAAAATAAATCAAAGGAAGTAATTATTTTAAAAAAAATGTTTAGTTCCAGCAGAAGTGATTCTATTTTCAAAGTTTGATAGTTTATAAAGGGAATCTATCATTTTCCGTTCTTGTTAGTCTATGACACATCACATTCGCTTACTTTAGGAAACTAATAAAAACTGAGTTGTCATTTGAATAATTGGTAGGTATTACAACCAAATACAGAACAATTCACATCATTTTTCTTTTTTCCATTCATAATGGTCATAAAATAACCATAATTTGTGCACTTTTAACAAAACTATAGAACAAAACCAACTAATGTCAAACACTAATTAAACACATTGAATGTAAGAATAAACAAAATAGTAAAATAGAAATTAAAAACTGTAATAGTAATTTGTAATTTAAACAACCTAATTTTCTATATATTTCTTATCCTACTTTTAATAGTATGCATATTGTCTACTAAAATATATCGGCTTATCCTTATTTACCAATAACGCCACTGAGTTGATCGTTATTGTAGTCCAGGGGATGGCTATGTGGCACTATCTATGTTTGTGTCTACAAACATGCTTTAATCGTATTTAATTGAATACATAGTGAATGCGAACAATGGTAAACTAGCGATCACTTTCGCCGTTCCGGTGGGTGTAGGCAACTAAACAAACACGACACTGTACTCGAGATGAAGACTCAATATAAATACGCCGAGCCATTTATCGCACGTGCTGGACGGCCGCTAACGTCATGAAGAACGATGGCAACAACAACAATTACAACAGCAACAACGACGATGACGTTGACTATGGGTTAAGGAGGGAAGGAAGTCGATGGCGATGGATGGACGTAGTTTATCCTCACAGAAAGGAAGGTTGAGTTTAGTTATGGATGGAGGAGGCACAAAAGATCGACTAAGTCGCCTGCAATGACCACCAGGGATCACAGCGAATCGGGCAGCGGACTATATACTATAGTACGGCCAGCGAAACTAGAAGCGTGACTGTCGCTCGCATGGTGACCTTTTTCGTGCAGTCCAAGAGTTCTAAATAGTCCAATGTTTATGTGAGCCACGTAGCGCTTATAAAGAATAACTGATATAGGTGTATTTCAGCTGTTATAGAAAAACCTTTGAATATCCTTATTAAATGTACATTATTTAGATAATAGATACATGTTATAAACAATTATGTATAATGTGAATATGGTGCATACGAATGTAGTCGTAGAAACCCTAATTAAAATTTGGATATTGAAAAACAAATTGCTCTATCAATAGCGAAATATTTATGGTGACGAAATAAATCTCTTGTCATTTTTCGATTGAATATTTCTGGTAGAAAACATCGTATTCGATTATAATATCGATTGGAAAATCAAAAAATTACGTCTTGAATTTACCAACTAGAGAAATTTTCCTTTTAGAAAAAGGTCTATATTTGATACTTCAGAGCAAGACTTCTTGTAGAAAAATTGTCCAGATAGAAAAAAAAAAATTAAAACTCACACATCATAGAATACCAATAAATCCCTTGCTACGCTCCGAATCTAAAAAAAAAAAACAAAAAATGTTTAAAAAATAATAATATACTACATTGTAAAACCATTGCATTTCTCGCTTCGTTCAAAATCGAAAATTATTCGATTATTAGATATTAAATTTAATGTTTATAATATTATGAATATACAAATATGCAGATTCATTGAGTACTTAGCAATAAAATGTCACATAACTCTGAAGAGAAGTTTCAAGTAATACTGAAGTAGACCCCTTGAAAATTTACTAATTTTAAAAATTGGAAACATTTACGACCGCCCAAAAAAATAGGCGTATTTAAGATTAAGATTACGACTATAATGTATTTGTAAGAGAACTCTCTTACAAATATATTTGTGATTCTCCTCTATATACAATTTTAAGTTCTAAAACCGCTCCTATTCCCTCCCTCATATAAACTTATCACACTTAACCTATGGTTATTTGGAAACTTATTTATGTGGACTATAAGTATTTGGTTACCGACGGCCTCATAAAATTTGTGTGGTATGTTTATCACACGATACAAATACAACATGTGTGCTGAAACCACATGTGTTTGAACATATTTCAACTATTACCATATTAGGTTTATTATAACTAATATATAAGTCGTAATCGAATTAAAATTTATCATTTCATTTTATTACGGAAATCGGCCCAAATAAAACATTTTTGTTTTTCTTCGAAAATTTGTCGCAGCCTAAGCGGGACGACTCGCGGCTGTAGAGAGAAACCAGCTCAATCCTCATAAAATTTGTGTGGTATGTGTATCACACGCTACACGTACAACATTTGTAGTGTGTATCACACACTAAGCGTACAACATGTGTAGTGTGTATCACACGCCAAGCACACAACATGTGTGCTGAAACCACATGTGTTTGAACATATTTTAACTACTATCATATTAGGTATATTATAACTGATATATAAGACATAATCGAATTAAAGTTTATCATTTCATTTTATTACGAAAATCGACTCAAGTAAAACACTTTTGTTTTTCTCCGAAAATTTATCGTAGCCTAAGCAGGACGAGTCGCGGCTGTAGAGGGAAACCAGCTCAATCCTATTTTCAGGTAGGTGCCTATAGATATTATTTTCTAATTTTTTTATTGAATACCAACAACTATTTAATTATAAACTGATTATTATACGTGACGAATTTAAAGAGTCTGGTACATACTTAACAATAGTACAATCATGATATAATTTATAGTTAGGTATCTATGTAATATTTGTTAATGTTCAGTTACCTATACATTTTCATTTATTAAGTAGCGAATAGTACATATAGTAATATTGAATTCCCCAGTTTTATTTGTAATCTAATTTATTTACAGGTATTACACCAATATTAGTATAATTTGATACATATTGTGCAGGAACTATTTTTCATACGAGGGAGGGGGTAAAAATATATTTGTTGTAATTATCCATAGTAATATCGTCTATATTTCCTGAAACCCGTCTTTCCCCTGCGATATGCCTGCAGGGGAACGGCTCGCCTCCCCTATCTATGTTTTTTTTTTGTGTGGGCAAGGCGCTATGACTAAAGGGACGTTCGTAAAGTTCACTTATTATAAACGTATGAATGAACGAATAAGTTGGGCTTTTTTTTTTGCCCATCGTTAAAATTTTTTGGCAGCGGGTGCTGATTTTGCTAGGCACAGCACTGCCATCGATTATTACGTATTAAATTACACGTTATTTGTTTAGTGAATAGCCTTAACGTTGCGTCATAGAATTATAATCAATTTCGACTGGTTTTTTTGAAATCGTAATATCAATTATGTCATAAAATAATGTAATAATATATAATTTAAAATTTGAATATTAAATTTTTGTTTTTGTTAAGAAATATTTAATGAAAATTTAATTTAAATATTTATTTTTGTTTTTCATAAAGTTTTATCTATATTTTATAAGGGTGTGAAATTATATATTTGTTCCTCTATATTTTGCACTGGGGATGGAGCAACTGCCTCCACTGCCAACTCAGCTTCGGCTCCATTATGTAATTTTAACAATAAGTATTGGATTTATTATTTGATCACCATATTGTGACATTTTAGGTAGGTACCGAGAACTAGAACCTAGATTTTATTATTGTTAAAACATTAATAGCCAATAATATTCTTCAAGAGTGAGTGAATATTCAAAATTCTGCACGTTTCTCCATTTAAATAAATTTATTGTTCCTATTATGATATAGGTGACAATATTAATGTAATATAATATCATTATATGATTCATATTGTGATGTACAGAATATCCCGCGATGATCTTACACTTGAAATATCTTTTGTTCTATTCAATATTTTAATTTTTTTAATAATTAGTATAATCTGCTCTACAGTTAATATATTTAAAAAAATGTTTAGATGGGGGAACTTAAAATAAAAAAATTTTAATTTTACTATTTCTTTAAAAAAAAAACTTTTGGGTTTAGGTACTAATAGGTAGCCATTTTGTAAAATAGATTTTTCTAAAATTTTTGGTGATTGAAACTTTTGTTTAGATATGATCTTTTATTTTTTTTATTTTTCTAAATGTAAATATTATGTGGTTTAATTATATTTTCAACAATAATAAATCTATTATAATATTTAACCAGTAGTCAGTAGTATTATTGTATGATATTAACTCATGGGAAAGAAAACCCTTATCATTTGATATGTTCTATACCTATCAATCTATAGTAGCTAGTAAGCTATAACTTTCCCGAATGTAAAATTATGGAATGTAATTGAATGTACGAGTAAAACCCGGACGGGGAAAATCCGGAACATAATATTCCGGAATTAAATAAAAACCGGAAATAACGGAAAATGGGATTCAGTATAGTTCTTAAATCTCAGAGGTGGATTGAACCATCGGGAATGCGGAAGTTTTCTCGGTGGGCTACTTATTCAAATAATAATTTTAAAAAGTATTTTATGTCAAAAAATTATGCTGACATTTTGAAGCACATTTTAAATTTAAAAAAATTAAAATGTCTTTAAAATATAAATTTAATGAAATATAGGTAGATATACATGATAATTCACTAAATGTGCTCACCATATTTTAGATTCTGAGTAGAGCGAAAAAGCTTATGGTTTTACAATGTTTATTATTATTATTTTTTGTCTGTAAACAACTATTCTACCAAAAATATTGCTCTAATTTTTATATGTAGCACCTTTTCTAAAAGGAAATTGGTATTGGGAGGTACTTTAATGAGGTCTTTTTTTGTTTTTCTCCGAAAGTATCTCAATAAATGTGAAAAACCAAAAAAAAACTGAGGAAAAACTGGAACATGTAAGTAATGTAGGTGTTAGTTAAAATATATTACAATTTTTTTTTTCTGTGCACAACTTTTTTACCAACAGTTTTGCTTCATTTTATAATGATAGTAATAGTTTTAAAAGAAAATCGTACTGTGGAGGTACTTTAGAGAGGTAATTTTTCGATTTTCTCAGGTGCTTTCTCAGCTGTGAAAAAATTGGGAAAAATGTACAATGTACAATATCAAACAAATATTATTAAAGAAAATATATAAAGCCTATTTAATTATTTTACTTTAATATGGCATATATATTGATGACAAAGCATCATTATCAACTGAACTTCGCTCATAATCTTTTTTTTGTAAACAATAGTTGATCGTTACTTATAGGTATGCATTAAATTACCTATACCAATGGCTGCACTAGTCCCCATTATCCTAGGAAGTCCTTTTTGGTTTTTTTCATTAAATATAAAATATGTACAGATATAATTAACAAATTACGTCACTTAATAATGCGTAATATCTTTCCAAATATGTAAAAAAAATTGTAGTTATGTAAAAATAATAATAATACATGTTGATTAAAATTCAGTATTCGGAAATAAATGAGCTGGTATTTTTGTATTTTTCCGGGCCGAAATCTCTCCCCAATCCACTCCTGCTAAATTTTTTAAGATTACTTACTGTTCCTAAAATGTTAACCTCCAGTCTTTTCACTAATATGTCGAATTTATTTCACAGCCTTTATCTGTCTACCCAACCTCTAAATCAAAAGTGATTACTTTTCCTGCCTATTTTGACAAATTTTCTTTGCTAACCGAATTTTCTACCGGCCATTCTTCTTTCGCGCTATACAAGTTTATTACATTTCACAGATATTTTTATTCATGAAAAAAAATAATCACTACTGACTATAGAGTATAGATAATAGACATATTATATCACTACTAGTATTATACCTATTTTATAAACCAATGATATTTATGAATATTACGTTCCAGATTATTACGGTCCGAGAAATTGCATTTCGAAATATTGTGTTACGGATTATTACGTTACGAAAAATTACAGTCCTGGAGTGTACAATCCAGCTTTGTATAGCCCTCCGATATATGTACCTATATTGTATTTTTGGATTTTAAGTTTATAAATGCTTTGAAAACCTAAAAAATATGTGTAATTATTGTCCGAATATAAATATGACATTGTAAAAATTAAATTGCTTGCACCCTTCTCCCCTGGCAAAATTCTGCCTATACATATTATAATATTATTGTGAGAAACAAATATTTTACACATAATTGTGCATTGGTTATATTGTATAATTGTATATTGTTATTGGTACCTATTATTGATATAATGTTACCTATTACCTACATCGGTTTTATACTGGTATAGTCGAGAGTAAATAGTAGATATATCATCTGCATAACAAACATATTGTTTTTTTTATCCATTTCACGTTTTTGTTCACGAACGAATATACTATATACCTACCTTTATTACCTAATCGATAATGGTTCATGCATTTTCAGCAAATACCTAGGTAAGTACGTATTATAATTACATTTTTTTTTTTTTTTTTGGCAGACGAACATTAGATAGATTCCTACATCTGTTATCTGCGCATTATAATGATTTATAATATTCTCGAAAATATGTATTGAATAATTTATTATACTATTTATTATTTATATAATATTTAATTATTTAATACTCCAGCGACGTAAAATTATTTTATATTGGTATTTTATCGTAACAAACCCACAAAATTAAAATTATAATAGCTATAATTATATCTATATATATAAAATATCATGTCCTGAATGATTGACTGATTCATCATCGCCTAGCCCAAACCACTGAACTAATCGGGCTGAACTTTGACACATAGATAGCTATTATGACGTAGGCATCAGCTAAAAAAAGGTTTCTAAAAATTCAACTTCTAAGGGGGTTAAATAGGGGTTTTTTTAGTTTTTAAGTATATTTGATACGGATATCTAATTCCTTATTTATTTATTTTTGTTTATTCGAGGGTTACCTTGGTGTTCGGAAAAAAGAAAACTATTATAATTATAATTACCACTATTATTTAAACTATTAAAATTTCAGAATAGAATACATTTAGTCCACCGAAGATAGACTACCCACTTTCCATGAATTTATTTTCATTTAATTTTGACGTGGCCAAAGTCAAAAATGAATATGGGTAAAATAATAACAATAATAATTGGCACGGGCAATGCCGGGCGAGGGACAGCTAGTATAATATATAGACATTTTTTTTTACGAAATATTGGAAAATAATAATGCTATTAATTATTATCTCGTAGCTAACCCAAATTAGGTAATTATTAATATATTGTTTGTTTTTCTTGTAGACGTTTTATTTAGACACGTCGAACCATGTTGGTGTTCCTGATGGTATTGTCCACGTTACTAATAAATTTTATAAAATGTGATTTACGACTAATTGATCCCATATACCCTGAATTTTCCAAGAGAGATTTTAATAAAACTAAAATGTTTAGCACTAGTTCACCTTACACTATACAGGGTAAGAAAATAATACAAATAAATTCATAACATTATTATTCATTATATTAATTAATTAAGAGTAAATAACTTGTTCCAAAAGTGTTTTATAATATGTAAGTAGTTACCTATTGAATATAAAAAATTTCGTTTAATATTATTTTAGATTCTGAGTGGAGCAAAGAAACTTATGTTTTTACAAAGATGTTTATTTTTTTACAACAACTTTTACTACCTAACATAAACCTTATTCCGATGTAATAGACCCTTTTCTTTAAGGAAATTTTCTTGGGGTAGTATTTTAGAGAAGTCATTTTTTGATTTTTCCAGGAGTTCTCAAACAAATGTGAAAAACGAAAAAAAAACGGGAAAATTGGTACAATATTAAAAAAATACTATTAAAAAAAATATGTAATGCATATGTTATTATTTTATCATAATATGATATATATTATATTGTTGAAAAAGTACCCCTATTAACTGAACTCTGCTCAGAATCGTTTTTTGTGAGCAATGGTTTATCATTGTTTAGCTTTTTTTGTGTGGTCTTAAGGTGAGGACCCCAAGTAAGTTTTTTATCTAGTAAGAGCACAAAATATTTGACTATTTGAAGTAGTGGGGTATGATGGAATTGTTCAAGGTGATCGGCGGGCAGTCTTGAGGTCGAAGTGAAAAGGTTATGTGGGATGATTTGGTTTCGTTGATTTTAATTCCCCATTTATTGAACTAGGACATGAGGGTGTTTAGATGAGTTTGGATTGTTTGACTGGCAATTGCACAGTTAGGATTTGAGGTAAGTATGACTAAGATTTGGGGTTGCCCCCACCGGTCCTGGACGAACGTTGCGCTGTCCGCCACACCAAAACCAATCCGATCACCCATATCCTTTTCTGGATCATTAATCACCCGCGGTCGGCATCGCGTGCTTTCTCGTAGGAAAGACTTAATTCGATCTAAGACGCTGGTACTCGTCTAGAGATCCAGCCGTCCGACTGCCATTTAGCAGGCTTACGCAAACTGGCTGGCTGTGCTGCGTCAGATTTGGTGTCGAGGACTAAGCGTTCCCTTAACTTATCCACGATACTTTGCACCTATTCGTACAGGTAAGTATAGCTGCATCATCGGCATATGTTCCAATGAGGATGGATTGGTTGGTTGGTATATAATTTGGTAATCTGTGGTACATAAAATTGAGTGATGGCACTTCCTTGAGGAACGTTAGCTAATGTTTCATGATAGGTTGATAGCTTAGTATTTTTTCTAATTCTAAACGATCTATTTTCTAGGCATGATTTTAAGAGTAGTTAGTAAAGGGCTGGGAATGTATTTTTGAATTTAAACAGTAATCCTTGGTGCTCAATGGTTTCGAATGGTTTTAGAATGTTTAAGAATACTCCCGAGCAGTATATTTTTTTATTTCAAGTGCTAAGGAGACAAAATCGGTTACGTGATGTAGTTGATTGGAGGTTGTGTGACTAGATCGAAAACCTAACTGTATATCGGGTAGGATTTTTTTGGTTTGAACTATTGGAATTAGCCTTTTGAGTATTATTTTTTGAAATATTTTACTAAATACTGATAAAAACTAATAGACCTGAACAAGATCGGGCTGTTGGAAGGTTTGTCAATTTTTAGTATTATGATGGTGATGGAGTGCTTCCATGTAGGAGGAAAATATGACAGGCGAAGTAGAGCGTTGAATATATAGGTCAACCAAATAATTGATTTGGATGGAAGGTTTTTTAATGATTTTGTTCGTGATTTGACCATGTTGTTTTTCAGTTTTTTTATTAATGTTGGAAAATTTAGGAGGAGTTGTGTGCTTGGCTGGTAGGGCCATTGGTAGTGGAAAATGGAGCAATATTTTAACTAAATCAATGTGATTTTGAGAGTGTAGGGTAGAATATGGCTTGAATGAGTCAGTGAAGTGAGGGGCAAATAGTTCAGCCTTATCTAGATCAGCGACAACTAGGGAGTTGTTGAGACAGAATAACGGGGGTAGAGTATCTCTGTGTCGGAGTAGAGATTCTGTTTTTTTCCAAGTGTACCCTTGTTTGGAGAGAGAGAAGCAAAGTCTGATTTGTATAGTTCGTTTTTTTGCTTCTTGAAGAGCGATTTGAGTTTGTTGGATAGTGAATTGTATTTTGTTTTTTGTCTTTTGGGTAGTGAGAGTGATGACAGCGATTTCGGGCTCTGCGTTTTTCAATAAGTTGTCTAATTCCAGGTGTGTTAAGATGGTAATTTACTTTGTGACGGTTCTGAACGTGGTCCTTAATATGTTGTGGAAACAATATCAATCGTATTTTAAGTAACGGATTAGGAAGGAGACATTGTTTTTTGCACTGTGGATAGTTTCGGTGAAAATGGTTATGGCATTGTCTATGTCTGCGGGTGATTTTAGCAGGGTGATAAAATTCTAAGTGCTAGAACTTTAGCATGTTTGATTGTGATGAGATTTTGAAGATCGAAACCTCGGGTATTGGTTGTTAAACGGCCACAACAATGGTGTTTGGCGTTGAAGTCGGCTCCCAAAAGATAGGTATGATTGATTGATGACTAGAATATTAATAATTTATTTTCGGAGAATTTACAGCTAGGAGGAAAGTAGACAGAAGCAATGAAAACAGGTATAGAGTTGATAAGTAGAGATTAGAGAAGTAGTTCATAAGTGCAAATTATTTGCAAATTGACAAATGTAGAGGGTTTAAAGAAAGTGTGCACTAATTTATTAAAGATAATTAGCGTTGCTCCTCCATGAGCGGTGTCGTCAGGGTGGTCAGCCTTTAATATTTTTTATCCAGAGATTTGGATAGCGGATTTGTTTATAAGATGCATTTCCGAGATTATGACGATGTCGACTTGATTTTCACTTATCAATAATTAGCGTTAATTTATATTGTTTAACATACCGTTAGGTATATAAGGTTAAATAAATAATTAAATATAAAATTATATAAAAAGACAGACAAACTTCGTACGTGAGTGGATCACTGTTGTAGTTGAGAAGTTGAGAAGGTAGTAGAGGGGAAATTTAATGTACATGTACAATGTATATCTGTACTCAAAGATTAACGAAAAATACGATTCTGATCGAAGTTCGGTTAATAGTGTGGCTTTGTCAACAAAATATATGTCATATTAGGTATCTAGTAAATTGATCGCGAACAATTAATTGTGGCTGGCAATTTGGTTGTGGATTAAATTGATCGCCAAAAAAAAAAATGAATTACATAGGGGTTGATTTACATAGACTTCTCTGGTTTATATTATACATAATTATTAAATAAAATTACGAAAACTTTTTACAAAAAAAATTATAAAAAATTATGACTAAATAAAGTCAAAAATATATAAAAATAAAATAAAATTAAAAAATTGTTTACCGTTGAAGTTGAAAATTATGGGTTTTTTCTTTAAAAAAAATCTTTTATATTTCTATTGTGAAAATTCGATTAATTTTAAAATGCCCTTAAAAAAACTATTTAAATTTTATACAAGTTATTAAAACACATTTAATAAATTATTAAATTTTATTAGTAATAATAAATTATTATTGTATTTTATAACATTAGTATATTCATATAAACTGGAGAAGAATCTATACAAAGCATTCAGTTTTTTCGGCGATCAATTTGTAGCCACGATTCATTGTTTGCGACCAATTGTTCATGGTCAATTTACCGCGATCCATCATATTATGATAAAATTAGTTACATATGCATTATATTTTTCCTTTAATAATATTTATTTATTATTGTACCCATTTTCCATTTCCCTACGTTGTTTCACGGTTATCCCTTTTTTTCCTCGGTTTTTCCGATTTATTGGGAAATCTTATGGGGAAATCGAAAAATGACCTTAGGAAGGTCATTTTTTGATTTAATGACCTCCCTAAAGTACCACCCCATACAGAGTTCCTTCCAGAAAATAGACCATCATTGTTAATTGGAGCAAAATTGCTGATAGAAAAGTTGTCCACAGAAAAAAAAATAAACATCATTGTAAAACCAATATATTCTTTGTTTCAATCAGAATCTAAAAAAATAATGATAATTAATAAAATATAAATTTATCGTACCTACTTGAATGACATAAAATATAAAATATACATGTATTTTGTTTAATATATACCAATTATACCTGTATAAAATGTGTATATATAACATTAATAAATTTATATACATATAACATTCGTATATTTGTTTTATCATTATATGTAAATGCGTCATAAAATTTAAGAATGAAAATTCATTTTTCTCGTTTAAATTAGCAAAGTTAGTGAAAATTTATCTCGGATTTACGGCGCTTTTTATAGCTATATTAGATAATTTTCTGCAATATCAATAACAAAAAGGAAAACCTCTATTTTAAAAAAGTTTTCAATTGTTTACAATCACCGATCTCCATCCACATCATCAAATTTTTTTTTTGCAAATTAACACAATGGACACTATAATAATGTTTTTTGACAATTGATAGTATAATTATAAAAATAAATACATTCAATAATTTTGTATACACAGTGGCACACAGAAAAATTTTAAGAGCATATGTAATTTAACAAAAGTATACCCACCCATCTATTTTTTATTTTTTTATGTAGAAAATATGTTCTCACTATGCTCCACAATTATACTCAAGAAGACATCAGCGTTCTCTTCAACAGTGGCGTAGCCAGGGGGGGGAGGCATTGGGTGTTGTAACCCCCATTACAATTTTTATTTATTAGCTACAGGTAAGCATAAAATTGTTGTAGATACCCCTAAATCTCTCTGAACCTCCTACTCATTGTTAAATCCTACCGTTTCGGCAGCGATTTAGGGTCCTGTAATGCATCCACATATTAATACTAATGTAGTTGTCGTTCAACAGCTAGTAGCATCAGGTCGTCATGTTGTGGGGTCATCGACAGTGGACTGTATAAGGGAAAATTGCTCACGGTAAGCACGGAATCACCATCTGCAGGGGCCTTGTTCCCCTACTTAGGGAACATGAGCAACACTCATAAATTTTACATGCCATATGACTTTCCTAAACACCAAGAGGCCATGCACGGCTACGCCTTGATGACCCAGGCATCGCATTATCCAACTATGTTAAGACGAACAGAAATGTTCAGTGTGGTTAGAAACTCATACCGAAACAATTTGTCCCATGGGACGCATAAATCCATGTGATCCCCGTCTCATGAAGCTCTTTTTTACATGGGAACACACGAACCCGCTGTTTCCATAGACATAAGATGTATGATGTAATGTCAGGAAATGAGAGTCAAACTAGACGGAGTCAGTTATTTAGGTAATGTATGAAGATTTGAGCATTATAAGTAGAATGATAGGCATGAATTTTGTAGTAAGTGTGTGCGGCTCGTCAAGTTAGGTGTTGTGCGTGGCTAGTAAAGTAGATGGTCGGGGTGAAACATTGAGCAGCGCTCACACATCAACAAACGCGATACACAATTACCTCACCCATAAGTCGACTAGCCTCAATAAAATGTGGGGTGGTACCCACGATGGACTCAAAACTCTCGTGCACACGCTATGGTCTCCCTCTTCCTTCTGGTACTTGTGTACTCAGGATTTCCGAGTCGCGGTGCTTCTGTACTCAGGATTTTCGAGACGAGGTACTTCTGCAGTGAAATAAAATAGTTTATACATAGGTACAAACATTTATTGTTTAAAAATGAAAACAAATTTAAACTGTAATAATCTCCAACTTAAAATACATCTCGTGAGCACATACAGTTACAGTAATTGGTAACCTATTTGGACACCACTGTGTATAATATTTATTTGATTTAAACACGAGAACATAATGTAATGGCCCAGGTAGTGACTGAGCCCCTAGCCATCACATCTCCAAGAGACCCATTTACCCGGGCATTGCGCCAGTTGTCCCAATGATTTGTTTAGTACTGACCCGGTACAGAACGAAATTATATTTCATCGATAACTACTATTCGTAACAATTAAGTATTTAACGAAATGTTTATGTTTACTAGAGGAATGCACGCCAATAAGAGTGTGGCTTTTATCAAGACACGGATCGAAGGTTCCATCAGAAGACATTTTGGAGAACATCGAAGAGCATCTAGAAAAAATAATTCAACCCATTCTTAAAAAACTATACGGAGATCGAAATAATGCGAATTTTAGAAAACTAAAAAAAAACCAGCAAATGTATATTTCTCGCTTATTAAAATGGACAAACGTATTGCGTAGTGCCTCACACAAAGAGCTCAATGAACGTGGAAAAGTGAGCATAATGAATTTAGGGAAAAGATTGAACGCCAAATTGAAGGAATTTACAACCACTCTTAAAAAAGACGAAATCGAGGTATACCTATACTCAGTGTCATTCGTCAAAATTTTTAATCAATATTGGTGTCTACCTGCATAATCTTTAACTATAATAATAAAATGACATTAAATATTTATATGTATATATATATACAAATTTCGCAGGTTTTATCGGCGATAGAAGATAGATGTGTCATCAGTGCCAGAAAATTTATTGGAACATTTTTTGAAGGCGACGCCGACGATATTATGATTCCTGTTGCTAAATACGAAGACCAAAGATTAGAAGTACGATATTTATTTTCAATATCGTCGAACGTATAATAATTGCATGCCTACTTTTTGTTAGAAAACAATAAATGTAATTTTAATAATTTGTCTAGTTTAAGAGAACACTATAGTGACATCTGCTGGTCTCGTCTTACAAACGCGAGAAATTTGCGTTCAGTAGAACACATTTTGTGTTGTTAGTTTTAAAATTAAGCAAATTGGCCTATTACTAAAATTAATGGTAAGAAGATTATGTGTGCTCTAGCGTTGATCATTTTTCGATATTTTTATTTTTAAATAAGATATGAGTATGTTAAATATCATTATTTAAAAATGATTATATCTTGTTTAAAAATTAAAATATCGAAAAATGATCAACGCTAGAGCACATATAATCTTCTTACCATTAATTTTTATAATAGACTAATTTGCTTTAATATTAAAACTAACGGCACAAAATGTGTCCTATTGAACACAAATTTGCTATATCTCGCGTTTGTAAGACGAAGACAGTATTTGTCAGTGTGGGTGTCCTCTTAACATTCAATACGTTCAAAATAAATTGCAACGTTTTGAGATCTGTTAAAATCAAAATTATTTTTTTTGTTTTTCTGCACAATCTAGTTGGTTAAGCCCAAAAGTGAAGATACAAAAGTAAACGATTCTACCAAACCTGGGACTTTGATAGACGTTGAAGATCTTTATTTTAAATTAAACTGTTGGAAAATAACAAAAAAAATACAATTGATATTGTTTCCACAACATATTAAGGACTACGTTCAGAATCGTCACAAAGTAAATGACGGTGAGATACTGTTGTATTACATATAACAAATTGTATATGTTACTGTGAATGTCCATAGTTGGTGAATACTGACGGTCACAGGTTAATGTCGTCATACACCAAAGACATTGGTGAAGTAATTAGTGAATGTTGACATTTATATAACGATATTAGTAAATATTGGTAATTCCGAAATTGTTTTCTTTAAATTTAATCTAGGGATAACGGAAAAATTATAATAATAATATAGTATTATTAATACAATTAATACTATAATAATAGACGTACTACTTAGTACTTATGTCTTGTACAATATCAGGTATTTTGTAAGTTGATAATTTTGATAAAATTGTTTATTACCTTACCCAACTACTATTATTATATCTTGATAACAGCAATGCTATGCTGTCTCGTTAACATTTTAATATGATATTGTCATTCAACACATTTATGTATTTTATTGTATACGATTGATTTGCGCAATAACCAAAACATTTTTTATAAATGGAATAATATGCGTGAAGTATTTTATATTAAATTTAATAACTTAGTATCTAATAAAAGACATAATTCTTTTTTTCTATTGGGTGAAAAATATCAACTTTTAATTAGTTAAATGAAAATTTTTTCTTTCGGGTTTTAGGGTTTACAGCCTTCTGAAAATTGGAACACAACACGATTTTAGTTGACACCCCCCCCCCCTCCGAAATTATATTCCACTTATGATTATGACCTTATATCACGTTAAATATCATGCACCATTTCCGAAGGTCCATATGTACAGTTTTGTATACACTTCATAGACTGTTATACCTGCTTTCGGGTGCATTGTTATATACACTGATGTTTGGATTCACTGCTCAATAATCTGATATGGTATTAATAAAAAATAATGCCAAAAATAATTTTAACTATTAAAAAGTTTATCTTTTTACATTTTGGCAAACACACAAAAATATACCTACACATGAACAAATTAGCAGTGTACAAAAAATGTACACATTACAGTGAACTTGATATTACTACAACTCCAATATAACCCTAGCTTGATGCAACACTGCTTCAACTCAAAATTTGATATTTTTGAGTACGAAGGGTTAAGTAAATATATAATAGGCATCTACATAGTTAAAATAAAAGTTGCAAATGAAAAATTTGAACTTTCAACTTTGGAACTATGTAGGTACATTGTTCGGTGCATCCGAATTGAGTCCCGCGATTAAAAATTTTCAGTATATTTGAATCCCAGTCGCGATTTTCTTGCTGAACAGCAACACGTATGTTCTCACTTTCGAGTGCCGTACATTCGCGTTGTTTTTTTTTTTCAGTAATTTAATAACATCAAAATGCTTACCACGCTCATTGAAAATCGGTAAGTGTCTACATAATAATAATACTAAGTTGGCCACACGCTTGTGTGACGGCGTACCGGTGGTTCCAATCATCGCGTGGCTCGCACAGCCATGGACGGACCTACGCAGTCAGATCTGCTGACTAACGCAGAAATGCAAAATATTTTGACTGAATTAGATAACGTTAACGAACAACCTCACCGCCAAATGGCAAAACTACAGCAAGAAAAAATTTACTACAAATAAAAATAGAGAATTGCAACTGGCAGCTAAATCGTCACAATTAATTACAAAAATTGATAACAACTTAGAAAAAATGACCCCTATTTCTAACATATCAATTTCAAAAGGTGTTAACGTAACTTCAAAAGTTAAACAAAATAGTAACAAAAACCCAACTAATGATAATACTCAAAAAATATATAAACCCTCATTAATAACTATCAAAGGTGTTAAAAAATTTGATAAATTAAAACAATTATTAACGTGTGAAGAACCGGTAAGAAACAAACAATTCAAAGTCCTATCAAATGACGAGACGAGAATCTTAACAACAAATGAAAATCAATTCAGAAGTACAATAAAAATATTAGAAGAAAATAAATTTGAATACCATCGGTACCAATTAAAAAGCGAAAAACCATTTCGAGTAGTATTACGAGGTATAAATCATGATTCCGATATAAGAATAATTACCAATGAACTGTATGACCAAGGCCACGAAGTAAGCAAAATAACCAATACACAGAGCAAGAAAAAATCTGATCCTAAAAACAAAAACAGAGAGTGGTCATACATAAGGCTACCATTATTCTTTGTAGATTTAAAACCTCGGGAAAATAATAAAAACATTTACAATATAAAACTACTATGTCATCAGATAATAAAAATAGAACCACCACGTAAAAAAAAGAAGTACCGCAGTGTAAGAACTGCCAAGCTCTCGGACATACACAAAATTACTGTCACAAATCGGCTGTATGCGTGAAATGTTGTGAAGGACACAGAACCGAAGATTGTCCAAAATCTAAAACGACAAAAGCAAAATGTGCAAACCGTGGTGAAAACCACACAGCCAACTGGAAGGGTTGCTCTGCTTACAAGAAAGCAATAAAAAGAGCACACCCAAAACAAGTCTCTGCTGTACAAAGAATACAACAGAAACCTGTCACAGCAAATGTTTCATACGTACAAATGGCTAGCACTTCAAAAGTCGATACAAAAACATTTCAACCAAAGGAAACAAAGAATCGATTACTCTTAATGATATTCTAGTCAGATTAACCAACATAACGCAGACACTAGCAAATATCACAGTAAGAATAGACAAACTGGAAATAAACCAAAGTCCAAAAATACCTCGCAGAAAATAAAGAAATGAACAGTACACTGCGGATCATTGCATGGAACGCCAGTGAGTTAGTACAGCGCAGACAAGAACTTAAAGAATTTTTACACAGTGAAAACATTAACATAGCACTTATTTCGGAAATCCACAACGTAGACTTTTCTTAAGATAAGGAATTACAGAATATATACGACAATTCATATTAGTGGTAGAGCTCGGGATGGTACTGCTGAAATAATAAAAGAATCCATAAAACACTATGAACTCGAAAAATACTCTGTAAATCATATACAAGCGACAAGCGTCAGCGTTAATGACGGGAATGACGATCTCATCGTTTCTGCAATTTATTACCCACCGCAAGGAGGTGCAGATGAAATGAAGTTCGCTGAATTTTTCCATACGTTGGGTTCTAGATTCATTGTTGGAGGTGATTATAATGCAAAGCATACTCACTGGGGATCGAGACTGATCACCCCAAAGGGACGAGCCTTGCTAAAAGTTGCAAACAACATCAATGATGAAATCATCACTACAAGTAAGCCAACATATTGGCCTACTGATCCGAATAAGATTCCCTATCTGCTTGACTTCTTTATTATGAAAGGTAAATCTTCTAATTTTATTGAAGTATTAGAACCTACAAAATTAACGTTACGAGTTTATAAATAATTAATATTTTCCACAAAAAACTACAAGTTCAATAAAAAAATTTACAAAAGTAATACAAGTCCAAATAATTCAATTTACAAACATTAAAAAATATTCTAATTCCAGTTTAATTGCACACACAAAAATATTTCATAAAACAGAGTGACGCGAAGTTGCTCGCATTTGATCGTGGTGGACTCGTCTGATTCGACAATATATGGGATGGCGTTATATATGCTCTGAGGAACCCCCGCAACCTGTCATTCCATCCTACGTATAGAATACGTTCCTAAACAATAGAAATGAGCCCAAGTGGTCATGCTACTTAAACCAGAAAAACTACCAGAACAAAGTAACTTCATACAAACCAATCTCGCTTCTTCCAACCATCTCAAAATTATTCGAAAAACTACTTCTAAAACGTTTAAAACTGTTGTTAGAAAAAATACAGCTTATACCGAAACACCAATTTGGGATTTGAAATAAACATTCGATCATCGACTAGGTTCATCGATCAGGTCCATCGCGTCACACACGTGATAAACCAAGTGCTTGAAGAGAAGAAGTATTGCTGCGGGAGTATTCTTTGACGTGGCACAAGCTTTCGATAAAGAATAACACAAAGGATTGCTTATAAAACTACGTGAACAACTGTCGCACACTGGATGCGCACTTTTCGAATTCTACTTGACTGAACGTCAATTCAAGGTCATGCACGAAGAAGCATTAACTGATTGGAAAAATATATCAGCGGATGTACCAAAGGGAAGTGTCCTTTGACGAATCCTGTACTTAATCTATACAGTGAACATTCTAATCAACAACTATTCAATGACAGCCATGTTTGCTGATGGCATCGAAAAAATAACAAAAAATGAAAACCAGCAGACTGCGACTGATTGGCTTCAAAGGTCAATCAACAACATTTCCAACTGGACGAAACGTTAGAAAATCAAAATTAACAGCGAAATATCGGTGCACGTATATTACACCTTGCATAAAACTTTCTATAAACCAATATTGCTAAATCGGTAGATCATCCCACAAAGTTACTCAGCAAAATATTTAGGTATGCACTTTGACTTTCGAAAACACCATGTTCGTCTGAATAAATTCCAAATTAAGAAGAAAATGCGACAACTATATTAGCTGGTCAGTAGCCTTTTCATTTTTTAATTGACAAATTATAAAATTGTGCAATATCTAACTATATAATTGGTATATTGTCAAATTTTAACTGACCTCACTGTTTTATATCTAAATATCGACTGCTACTAGTCATATCAAATAAACAAATCTAGTTATTCTATTTGATAATAATAATATTATGTGGTTAGATTGGATCATTATTACAACTCAGCCGCGGTTATCGTCATATTAGCTGCCTATATGTATATTATATTTTTACCTTCAATATTTAAAAAGGTGTCCTAGGATAATGAGAACGGGTGTAGCCACTGTTGTAGGTGGAAAGTTGGGAAGATAGGGTACAGAAGGAAATTGAGTGTATATCTGTAGGCAACCTTAAACTATTGCTAACGAAAAAACCATTCTGAGCGGAGTTCGGTTGATAGTGTTGTTTTGTAAACAATACATCCATACTATAGTAAAATAATTAAATAGGCATAATATATTTTCTTTAATAATATTTGTTAAATATTGTACCGATTTTCCCATTTTTCTTCCGTTTTTTTTTTCGGTTTTTCATATTTGTTGAGAAATCTCCTGGGAAAACCGAAAAATTACCTTTTTAAAGCACCTCCCCAGTCAGATTTCGTTTTAGAAAAAGTATTATCACCGTAAATCTGAGCGAAATTTCTGGTAGATAAATTGTCCACAGAAAAAAAAAATCGTTATATTTTACTTATATATTTCGTACATTTTCCCGTTTTTTTCCTGTTTTCTCATGTTTTTCTCCAGTTTTGCCCATTTATTGGGAAAAATCCTGGGGAAATCAAAAAAAAAAGACCTCCTTAAAGTACCTACCCAGTCCGATTTCCTTCAAAAAAAATTGCTACACTTAAAATCAGAGCAAAATTCCTAGGACACCTTTTTTTGTTTTAGGTTTAATTTTTAATAAAACTCACAAAAATCATAATTCAATACCTACCTACTTAATATTAAATCAATTTTAAATTTATAGAAATTGTCAGATCAATGTACTATGCATGTGTGCATGGTTTTTATCAGTACGACGCTTCCGGAAATAAAACAGACGCTTGGTGTCACTTATTTGACTTTGATGACCTACAAGTATACGAATATAATTACCTATAATTACCTATCCGTAATATATTTACTATAAGTAATTGCAAATATTATCCAAATATATTTATAGATGTTCGAGAATATGTTTGACTTACAGTATTACAACAAAAATGGATATCATTTAGAATCTAATAGAATGCTCGGTAATGCGCTAACGGAAGACCTCCAGCTGTTCCTAATGTACCTACCTACTCTTACATAGTTTATGTTTAAATAATATAGTTATATATACAGAGTTACACCGTTAATTTTATAAATATACAGTTTTTTATTTTTTCAATTGGATTTTGTGTCAAGTTTATACATATATATATATACTATATGCATATATATATATATATATATATATATATATATAGTATACACAATAATGTAATTTTTTATTTTCATCTTTTAATCACTAAAAAAAATAACTTAGTGTATTCACTTGAAATAAATACCTAGCTATTTTATAATATATCTTATAATTTAAATGTATCATACGTATCCAATAAATAGTTCTATAGCAAAGCATTCACTTCATACGATATCGATTCTATTATAAAATCAACGGTAAAAGCTGATTTAATTTCTAAAGACAGGCTTTATGAAAGTATTACGTTTGCAACTCCTTATTGCGTAACATGTAGTACTTACCTAACCTACTGTATATAATTGAATATAATTGTTTGTATACTCAACTAGAAATTAAATTAATTGTAACTGTTACTCAGTTGACAATTGATCAACAATCGCTCAACTAGGAGCGATGCCCCTGCGACACCAGACCGGGGTCAAGACTTAATTATATTTATCAGTCATAAGTACAATATAAAAATGGCTGAACGGGTTGGCATCGAGGTGACGGTACTTACTCCTCCTTCTCGTGCGTCGGTGGTAATGTAGATACCAACATACCCTCCGTTATCCTGAACTGACTGACGCTAACTTGTGGTCCCCCTGATTGTCCTATATATAATTGTCGCGTTGATCAGAGCCTAAGTGGTGGTAGATGTCACCCTCGCTGTCTCCTAGTGGCACATTGTCCGCAACCGGACACGTTTTTCCTTTGGTTCATCAACACGTATCATCCGTTGTTGCGTGGGAACGTGGTAGGTTTGCCACACCCGTATTAATGGCCCTCAGGAGCGTACACGTAATGTGACGACCGATTTCACATTTAGTCGCTTAGAAATATTAATTGATAGTTAACAAATTTAAACACGTGAAAGACAGAGTTCGTAACATTACTAAGAAACTGGCCATTCGTTATTTTTTTCTAGCAATTTAGAGGTGAAAATAAAAAAGTTAATTTTTCTTTTAATATATGTCTCACAACCCCTGACATAAAATCCGATTAAAAAATTAAAATAATTTAATATTAACTGCTTACAGAGATTACTATCGAAAAAACACGGCTGAACATCCAATACAAATATGGAAATATATATTTATTTATACATAAATATATCTGTAAATAAATTATTAATTTTATTACAGGGAACCTAAAGGTATCAGATTCAAATTTTTTTTGGGGCATACTTCAAACATACTGAGTCTAATTACCAGATTCAATTTGTTCCGAGACGAACCAAAACTTAGCATCGACAACATTGAGAAAAGAATGCACAGAAAATGGAAAAGTTCTTATATAGTCCCTTTCGGATCTAATATAATGGCCGTAGTCTATGATTGCGGTTTCGTTGACTTTAGAGTGACGATTTATCTAAACGAAGTCCCTATAGAGATGGAAATACTTCGTAACGGTGGTGTTTTCAAGTGTATAAAGTGTCCCCTAAAGGATATTATCGATTTAATTAATACATTTGAAGTAAGCAAAAGACCTGAAAGATTGACTACGCTAGAACAAGATCAAATAAAGCGAGATGGGAAGGAAAAAAAAATGAAAAAAAAGAAATTAGCCCGAGAAGCGGAAATTGTCAGAAAATTTCATGAAACACTTGATATTAGAGCAAAGAAGGTGTACGATGAAGACGAAACGTATGAGGATGAAATCGAAGATAAATTAAAATGATTGAAACTGAAGCTCAACAACTATAAAAATTAAAACTGAAACTAAACCCGAGTACAAACTGACACTTAATTACATGTAGAAACTGTAATTGAACCTCAAAAACTTGTACATACTGACACTCAATTACATGTAGAAACTGAAACTCAACCACACGTAGGAACTAGAAAATAACAGAAGTACCTACCTAAATTTGGTTGAGTACCTAAGTGAATAGTATAAGTTAGATTCAAAAAGAAAAGTAAATAATATCCAATTCTGTAAATTATGTAGTTGTTTAAAATAAAATTAACCAATAAAAAGTTCGAACATAAAAACTATTAAAAATCAAATGAGGAAAAACATTTTCAAATATCAGGAAATTCAAAATATTTATTGTTATAAAACACCAAAATATTAAATAATATAATGAATATTTTGTAATGATTTAAATGGCATTATTCATTATATACACAATTATTATATTATTATTAGGTATTACTAATATTCTTTATTATAAATTTGAAAAAAACAAATTATTGATTAAATAATTGTGTACATTATACATTTATGTTTTACTCTATAAATTAGATTTGATTTACTCTATATAAGAGATTTATTTTAATTTCTTTAAAAAACCAACATAAGTTTTTAAAATCCATTTAAAAGTATGTATTTTTTAGCAATACTAAATAAATAAAAATAATAGTGTATTATCAAAAAGTGGAAGTATACTTACAAAGATCAATCACAATCAATTGATTATTGCTATTCACTCTACCACGAAGTCAACAAAAAAATTGAATATTAAAATGTGTTAACTTTTTTCGACTTGATCCAAATGATAAATGATTAAGCAATATCGAACATTTCCGAAAGACGAAAAGCAGACTACTTTTGGATAATTTCAACTGTTTAAATAATAATTAGCAATTCATATTGTACCTAGGTAGTTGAATTGATCATATAAATAATAATTAAATCAAAATATCTTCTTAGAGTTGATTACTAAAAATTAAAATTTATAAATAAATTTATCATCTAAAAAAAATTTTGTGAACATTCTCTATTGGTTGAATTGTATATAAAATAATTAAAACTATACGTGAAGTTTAGAAACACAGAAATAATATAGACCTGATATGTACATTAATTCATGTCATGGATACAATATCTGTGATTTATGAAAATCAAAACAGAAAAAAATATAATAAGAATTTAAATTAATATTCGACATTTTGTTATTTTATTTTGGAGGTACCAACTTATATTTTGTTTTCTTATATTTTATTTATTTATGCACAATTTCGTAAAATGAATCATCAATTATCCACTTAATTATTCCTATAAAACAGTTGAGCTGATGTGTGGCCGGACGTCGTACTATGTGGTGATGAATGAAGATATGATATTTCCTATTTTGTTAAATAAAAACGAACGCACATATATTAATAGTAAAATTGTTTTATTAAAACAATAATTAATAACTAAAGCAAAAATGAATGGATGCTCTGATACTTACATAATATGAACGAATAATAGATGTTCTGATGGTTGATCGTTAACTCGTTTAGACTCGACTGATAGCCAGAGGGATCCGCTGAGTCTACGAAAACCTGTAAGCCCAGGCATTTCCATATTGACGCTAGTCAAATGCTGACACGGATTATGACACATAATATTATACATTATACCATAAGTTATACCGAGTGTATACATAACACAGGGTGTGAACAACAAAACATTAAACATTAAATGGTTTCAATTAAGTTTTGATTTGGTGTCACCTTGTACTGTATTCATCACATAAAAAGTAACATAAGGAAAAATAATAATTAAGGCTTTAAGTTTAATTACTAAACGGAGCCCCAATGTATTTTTATACTCATTTATATTAATTTCATATAATTGTGTATAGTTAATAAGTGTTTGCTCTAACTACATTCTAATCGATGTTCGAGGCTATTCCACTAGGTGATAGTTGTTTTAGTTTTAGTTTTTTTTTTTATCTATCGTTCATTTTTATTACCTTATTCTCGGGATCGGCTGTTGTAAGAGTCAGCCACCCTCGGTTAGATGGCCTTGGCTATCAAGGCCTGGGGAGAACCGTTTTAAATTCCCATACACGTGTCTCTCGAAGATCCTGTGAGATCCATATTGAGCGGCGCAACTTGAAATTAGTCGTATATATATGGGCATAATAATAATAATAGGCTCTAATATAACGGACAAGACTTAGACGGACTTAAACAAGACTTTTACTAGACTTCGTAAGACTTAGTTTGTATTAAAATATCAAACAACCGTAGGAATCGTTCTATTGTATGTTCGATCTACGGCCTTGTAAGTTTCAGGAATAAACTAGTACTTTTTAAGTCTTTATGAAGTATTATTTATTTCTTCAAACTCCTAAATCTGCTAATTACGGAAGACGTTTGTCACAGCTTATAACTCATAGGTGACTCCATCAATATATGGTTTTAAGTCGTACTCACCAGTCAAGATCACTACAGTCAGAAAAACAAGTGAAAATACTGGTATTTTCAGATTAAAGACTTTCCTAAAGCCTACCATTAGATACTCAAAATCTAAAATTAAATTAAAGATCTGTTAAATATATTAAAGAAATCAACAATAATAGTAAATGTTTATCTTCTATATAATAAAATGTCTGATTAATATATTTTGCAAAATCAAAATATATTATTATTTTAAACAATTCATATAAAATATACTTCACAGTATTTGCATGAGATGTAGCTTTCAGTTTTACGATTTAAATGAAACTAGTAGATATGATCACAGTTGTATAAGTATTACTTGTAAATGGCTATTAACCGTACTACCATTTCTTTAATACCTATAACACCAAAAATAGGTGTGACTATTTGTCAGTTTCCCATAGGTAATATAACCACTGAAACCAAATTTTCGAAGCTTTCCACTGTAAAGAATTTATTTGGAAAAATATGAGTATGTGACTGAAGTATGGAAGATAGATTGGATAGGTGATTTAGCAGATAGGTACATTATATAATTATTAATTATTAATTTATATAATTAATTATTATAAATTATAGTAATGATGGTATTATTTATACATTTCTTCATCCATCCCACTTCTCATAAATGCGCTGGGTAGCTAGGACGTCAATAATTATGACATTATAACCATCTATATGCTATTTTAGATTCAGAACGTAGCAAGGAATGACTATTGTATTGGTTTTACAATGATGTTTATTTAATTTTTTCTTTCTTTCTTCTTTCTTTTGTTCTGTAAGCACTTTTTCTTCAAGAAATCTTGCTCAAAAGTATCAAACATATAGACCATTTCCTGAAAGAAAATTACATCTAATGGATAATTTAGAGAGGTCATTATTTGATTTTCGAAGCGGTATTCGAGTTAAAGAGAAATAGAGAAACGATGTCTCGATTTTTTTTTATTTATTTATATTTTTTATTTATTTTAGTTAAATATTTAAGAACGACGTTTCCTACTAAAAATATAGTATATAGTTAAAATATATTGAAACATATATTGTGTCTTCAGAATCATCACAATCAGTATCATTCTGATGATTTAAATCATTTAGCTAAAAATTATGTTTAGTCTGGTCTGTTATGTAATTTACTGTAGCACTTTTAAAAATGTTTTTTATGATTAAAAGCAAATAATGTATACTCAACATTCACACCTTCCTTATTAATTCTCTTTGTAGACAACCAGTTTAATAAGTAATCAAATGTTTTTGGACGGTTTTTGTATTTTTATGTATTAGTATACGTAGGTTTGTCTACTTTAGGTATCAGTACTAGGTATGCGTACTTTTAAAAAAATTTTCTTAGAAAATGAGAAATATTATTATACAATGTGTTTTCACTTTGTAAGTAGGTACCTACTTACAAATTTTGATTTGATTATTAATTATACTAGTTAATCAATCTGTTTTTTTGATTTATAAGAATAATTATTATTATAGTTGTTTTGAAGTTTTACCTCTCTACAACTTTATATTGTTACATTTTAAAATATAATATAACACGTTACAAATCTAACTAAGATAGTAGACTTATAGGGTGCATTCGAGTAGCTCGATTAACGCTTATAAGCGCTTATCAGCGCCACCGTAGCGTTCGATTTAGCTTTTGACAGGGCTCAGACTACAACCATGACGTCACTAAATCTGAGCGCTACGTCAACGATCCGGGTTCACAAACGCTTATCCCATAGAGATAAGATAGCAAACGCTCGCAAGCTAATCAAATGATAATAGATACACCGAAATAAGTGATAACTCTTTGACTATATTTTCACCTAATAATACATTATTTTTCTTTAACGACTACGCTGTTTAAACTATGATTTTTATACATTTATAAAACTAAAAATGTTTAAAGTACATAATATTTTAACAATATTTAAAATAAAATCATTAGTCGTTACAATTATAGTACTTCATGATAACAATTAACAGTTGATAACTGCGATGATCGTACAATAAGTATGCTTATATTTGCGTTCGTCTTGAGACCCACCTAGCAGTGTTATTTAGCTATATGTCTAAACGAACCGTTCATTAGCGTGAGCTTTGGCATAAGCACTTTAAGCGTCTAAGCATGCTATATGAACGCACTCATAGTAAAATAGTAAAACTCGTTCTAACAACTAACAAAAATTTATATTTTTATATAAGTAATTTATAATTGTATTATTTATTTTGAAGTTCAACTTAAATTAAGTATAGATTTTGCTTACAAGTTTCTAATAAAAATTTACCATAAAATCATTTTAATGTTTTATTAAAAAACTGGCGTTTTCACAGTGTTACGTCTTAAAAAATGTCTGTGTAAATCAAAATACTAAGGCACTTTATGACATGAATATTGTAACTTGAAAAAAAAATCAAAACAATAATCATTATTCTACTTTCAAAAATTAAACTGTCAGCATGGTTGACAACCACTTTATATTTTGTATAACAATAAGCATAATTATCTTAAGTATTTATACAATGAGTCTGTAGTATGTATTTTTCAATTTAATTTTAAAATAATACAAATATAGTAAACAGAATGTAATACAAGGACCTGAAGTAAGAAGAAACTATGTTAAATACTTAAACAAATAATTTACTGTTCCATTCAATACTTACTTATTTTTTCAATTATTAAATGTAGGTAATAACTAATATTTTTAAATAATAAAATTTATTAAAATGAAGAAACACATTCTTTATTGTTCAGTGGAAACCATAGACAATACAAATATATGGTTATGTTAATAAAAGTATTTATATACCTATAACCCAAGTTAAAATTACAATAAATCAAATCACAAAATAATTATACGAAATAAATCATTATATTGTGCATATTATCAAAAAATAGCACCAAAACTTGATAAAAGTATGTAGCATTAGTAAGGCTTTAAAAAATCAATTTAAACTGCAACCAAAAAGGATCACGTGGAGGTTGCCAACTCCCATCTTAAAAAACTAGTTTTAATAATTTATCATTATCTCATTTTTTTCATTTTTTTCTCTTAGGTTTGGAGGACTCCCCCTATCCCGCTTACAGTATAAAATGTCATGTGACTTGGATATGCTGCATGATAAAGTTTTTTTAATAGGTTAAAGGTCGTTGGACAACCATACTATCTTAAATCGTGCTTCATACTCCTGTAAATATTTCAGAAACCATTTATATTATTCCGGAATATTATGTTAAGTCAAATTTTAGATTCTGAGTGAAGCGAAGAAACTTATAGTTTTATAAATATTTTTTTTTATCTATGCACAACTTTTCTACCAGAAGACTTGCTTGGATTTCAACATGTAACACCTTTTCTAAAAGGAAATCGGAGTCGAGAGATAATTTTTCGATTTTCTCAATGGTTTTCTCATCAAAATTGAAAACCGAAAAAAAACCGGGAAAATTTACGAAATATAATAAATATAATTTACAATATTTTTTTCCTGTGGACAACTTTTCTACAAGCAATTTTGCTCCAACTTTTAATGATAGCAATGTTTCTAAAAGGAAATTTCACTTAGAAGATACTTCAACTTCAAAGAGGACGGAATCGATTTTCTCAAGAGTTTTCTCATCAAAAATGAAAAACCTAAAAAAAAGACGTCCTAAAATAATGGGGACAGGTGTAGCCACTGTTAACAATATTTAATAATATTTATTTAATATTGTAGAAATTTTTCCCTTTAATTGGAAAAACTTCTGGAAAAATCGAAAAATTCCCACCCTAAAGTACCTTTTCAGTCAGATTTCAGTTCAGAAAAAGGGCTATCATTTTAAATCGGAGCGAAATTGCTAATAGAAAAGTTGAACATAGAAAAAGAAGCCATAATATTTTTTTACTAATATATACCTACATTTAGTATATTTTCCGTTTTTCCGACATTTTAACTGGGTTTTTCCCAGATATGAAAACTGCTTAAAAAATCAAAAAATGACTTCTATAAATTACCTTGGATATAAAATTTCCTTTCCGAAAATAAGCTACACTTGATACAGATGTTGAGCAAGATTTCTGGTAGAAAAGTTTGCATAACTAATCGAGGGGTGTTTAAAATAGTCCGAAGGAACGATGGCTTGTACACAGCTAGGTACATCCAAAATGCATTTGTTTTTTCCTTGTTTAGGTTAAAGGGAAAAATAATGCAAAACATTTTTCTTCACACACTGGTCTGAACTCGGAACCCCTAATATGATCATAGGCATATGAAACCATTAGATCACGACAAATATGCTTTAAGAACAATATAGTTATTTAACATAACATATAATATCAGAGCTTCAAAAAGCTACAATTTTCGAAACTTAATCACTCTGCTTAATTCTGACTTCACCATCGTTCTTAAATTGGCAATATACATGTTTCAAAAAAAAAAAATTAAAAGAAAAATTAGATTAGTTCCACATAATTTTTTCGTGAAAATTTGATATTAAAATTCCCTTATAAAAAAAAAAAAATACTGTTAATACAGTCAAGGTGATATCGATTGCGAATATTATGCAATAACAAATCAGTAGGTAATCACAATAATAAGTTTTAAAACGTTATCAATAAATAACTAGGTAGTGACCAAGGTGAATTAATCACAAATTTATTGTAAATACACAATTTTGATATATTTTACTAAGTACTTTTCTCTCTCAATTATCTATGTCGTTTTTATTTTATATAATGAATACTTATAGAAATTTCTGGATAACTAAATCTAACACTATAGCATTAAAGTTATTAATTATAACCTAACATAAAAGTTGTTTAAGTACCTACTTATCAATTTTTTCAAAAACATTTTTGTCTTTCTCGTATTTGTTTAAATTAAACGCATCCCCTTCTGTATTTAGGAATTCATCCACCTATATTATATTTAAATTACTCATACACCTAATTATTAAGCATCTACCACGATAGTGTAAGTAACTAATTAATAATTATACGTTTATTGTTCTGAGGGTGCCTAATTTGATAAACTGGGGCCACAAACTAATTTAGCGCTATCTGTAATTTCATATAAATTGCTTCCATTGAAAATTCCACTCCTTATAATCCAGTTCAGTATTTTGATGACTTGCGGTGGCAGTTCCCAAATCTGTGAAACATAACCAAAAGTTATAAAACTTTGTAAATGTGAAAAGTTCTAGTGTATTTAAATAGCCTGTTAGTTTCTACTACTAGTACAGTACTATCTATTATTGAGCTAAAGTAGTCTGTGGCCCCAGTTCAGCAGTTTAATAAATTAGACCAACCCATTGTTTTGTACTTATTTGCAAGTAAAATATGTCCTTATTTTCTTTTGCAATTTGATTTTTGTCAAGTTTTTATCAATACTTATAATTTACAAATTTATTTAGTATGCCTGGTAGGTACTTGTGTAGTCAAACCTTTCACAACTCATTGATAACAGAAATCATTTCTATTCTTGGACAAAATAACAATATTAAGTAATAAAGTTTTTTGCATTTAATGATTCATACAGGTATGTATATATCCATTGTAGTTACTCAAATATTAGTAATTTTTTCCACAAATTGGTATGTGTAAATGGATTAGTAATTTATTCAAATATTAACTCCTATCAAATCATTTATGCACCTATGACCACAAAATAATATTATCATTGTAGACACTTGTCTAGTACCTACAGAAAAAAAAATTATTTAAATTATATTATAATCAAATTTTTATAGCTATCATAGGTATACTATTATTTTAATACATAGGTATACTTACATAATACAAGTAAGCACAGATCCAGAGCAAAGATCTGGGGGGAACCCAAACATTTTTTTACAACATAAATACAATTACAGTATACTTAATCAGTGGCACTGAACTATGTTTTAAGGAGATGGAAAAATAAAAATTTGTATAGACCACCACCCTTGTTTACAAAAGAAACTACCATAGAATACTCTTAATTAATATTTAATAATCAAAATAAAATAAAATATATACTAATTTGATGAAAAAAAATATAGCTCAGGTACCTATCATGGATCCACCACCACCCACCCATTAAAAGAAAGGTGGCAATTGCCACCGTTGACTGCTGGTTTTCGACACCACTGTACTTATTATAATATATCGTTTACAAATCTGATTGTTTTGTAGTAATATCAGGATCTATAGAATTATAAAAAAAATTGGAAAAATAATATGTCTAGCTCCTAGCCTCTCTCCCTAGATACACATCATATTATTAAATTTATTGTTAGGTATCAAATTAGTATATTATCATTGTAACATATACAGATGTATTCATTATCTTCAGCTTCTTCTCACACAGTAAATGATTGTTGCTTTCAATTATTTTGCTATCAATCATAAAAATTAAAAATTATGAATATCGTATAAAATAAATATTTGAAATGTGGCTTATGAACTTATTACAGTGAATAATATTACTTTGTGGAAAAAAAAATGAATAGCAGTGGGGTTCGGATGGTACACGGAACACTGTAATGCTGCAGAGTCCGAATGCTACAATGAAAACATGCTTTGCTTTGACGATTGTTGGATGTCTACCAGAAAGTATGACCTTGTAAAATGGCATTAAGTCTACAACTAGTCACTGTTTCATGATTAACAAAAGCATTTTGTATTGTTTTAATTTTATTAGTAATATTAGGCTGTTCGCAGAGGTATTGCAATACCAGGCCAATCCGCACCAGAATAGGATTAAGCCCCAATTTCTCTGATTACTATCCAAAAATTAGTTTTAACATTGAAACTTCCCCATGAGGAGTGTATCTGATGCTATGCTAGTGTTATAAATACTTTGACATTGTACATAAATGGGACATTTTCTTGATCAAAGGAGAGAAATACATAAGGGTGGGGGGAGAGACACAAAAAAAAAAAGGAGAATAAATCACAATATGTAATAATAATAATCTATAAAAAATAAATGTATATAAATAAATATTCCAGTAAACAGTATAATTAGGCAAAATAAGGCAAAAGTCATGAATAGTAGAAAACAAAAGTCAACATAAAATTCACAGTACACAAATTTGGTAACAAAATCAAAATTTATAAATATAGTAAAAATAAACAGGTGTAAAAAAAAACAATACTAATAGGCGACTATTCGCAGACATGGAAACAAGTACAAATGAGAAAGGGAACTTACTTAGGTCTCTGTTGCACCCCCATTATGTACTCAGTGTACACATCTCTGGATAAGTAGATGTAAAACCATGTAGTGCGCAGTTTACTACAAACAGAGATCGATGAGGTAGGAAGGCTTTATGCTGTATACCCACATCACCGGCACATTCAGTGGCAGTCACGGTCTCTCCAGCACCATTCAGATTCAAATGTGCTCTATGAATGAACCTCCAATCAAACCATATGAAATCACCTACCATCAAGTGGGTGGACGCCAGATCAGCCGCCACACACTCTTATTATCAATCTACAATAATTTTAAAATTAATTAATAAATGAAAAATTTTAAATGTTTATGTAATACTAAATATATTACATGGGTCATCTATTGTAAACATTCGGAAAGACTGATGGACAATCCAATCTATATTACCTATAACAACAGCTAAAAAAAAAACGAAACATTTAAAACGTTCATGTTGTAATAGGTAATGAGTGTATGTAGTCTAATACTAGTATGTTAAATAACTTACTTGGAAGCAATTCCACACAAATTGATGAAAAATTGAAAATCATAATTTCTTAACACAAATAATGTTTTTGTGTTTTTTTTTACTAATGATTGTAGCGATATTGATAAAAGATAGTGGTTGATAAAAGCATAATAAAATTGATAAATATATTTCCATTTTCATACAAGTTTTGAATTTAGTTGTAATCGTAGGTTTTGTATAAAATAAAATCTATACCAACATCGCACCTACATCAATGATCGATAACACTGTATAGACTTTATAGTGTTTTAATATACATACACATTTATTTATTTAATAAAAAAAAAATTCTTATTAAAAAAAAATTATAAAAACGCGGATCGAATTTGAATGTCGAATAGGATGATTTCTGCAATATTCCCTTATGTTATCGAATCCATATCTTTACCTAACCCGTATACAGCTTGTGTAAACGTTAGATTCCGTTTTATTTGTTTATTTTGGTTATCGGTCGGGGACCCCACGAGTGAGCCACCACCTTACCATGGAATGTACACCACCATTATAATAATATTATTTCGATTAAGAAAATAAACGAATAATCGGATACTACACGGAACGTAAGTTTTCCGACATCTGGCATTAGTATTATTGCCGGGGTGATGACGTTTGTCATTAACTCACACATTCCCGATAATTACTTCCGAAATACCTACTGGCACTATTCGGAACTTGTTTCGACAAAGCACAAGGGCTAAATTCACGCACCTTATTTACCTATCCACCTTGGTTACTACGATATATTATTACTCTCTTTTACATAGAGTATTAGAATTCATTTCGAAAATTCTCCGTGACTTTACATACAAAATGGAAATAAATCCATGTCGAATATATTTTAATTCGTTACTCTCCGGTATTTACATCGTTTTGTTACCTGAGGCCGGCGACACACTGGGGTGATTGGTTTCATGTATTAGACAATTTATTTCGTTTGTTAAAATCGCCTGTATTTAAATGGAGCGACACATATTGGTGTTTCCGAAACGTGGTCGTAAAAATATTTTGCACCTTTTTAAATTTTAGTTAAAGTATTTTATGTAGGACCGGAAAAAGTAGAAAAAATATCAATAATTCACAAAAAAAATACAATACCTATGCGTTTTGGTCAGATATTCTAAACACATTATGGTGTTTGTCACCATACAACGTAACTACAAACGTTATGGTTTGATTCGGTAACACGATAGGTAAAAAATATTTAAATTAATATTGCTCTTCTTTTTTACGTAGGTATAATTATTAACACATTTCAATTTCAATTACTTTTCGAAGTTAATCAATTTCACCTTCGATTTAACCACCACAGAACAATAATGTTATAGTCGGTTGACATGTTTAGATCGACTTAAACGAACTGAACGGTAGGTACACGAAAAAATATTCATGAAATAAATTTGTTCCGTGTGTATTGACCATGAAATTTGTTTCGTATGATTAATTTTATAAATCACATTTCCCCAGTGCGTCGCCCGATCACCGGCCGAAGGAGTAAAAAGTGTATTATATTTTTCAACGGAAAATTTACCAGTTTACATGTATAGGTACTATTGTGTTTATAAAAATGATTCCGGTACACTAGTGGCGAGTGTAGAGTAGTTTGTCGATTTCTTTACCTTACTACAAGAGCACGCCAGGAATACAATGCCAGTATCCGAGTATATTAAAGCATACCTATCCGCAACACCTTAATCTTTTGGTAAAATAAAATTCAAGTTCGATAGTAAGTAAACGAAAAAAAAAATAAATTAAATATACCCAATAAGCACCTATGTCGTAAATCGTTACCAATTATCTAGGTAAGTGCGCACCTATTTCGCATACAATGAGTATATTGTATAAAGCTGTTTAACAATATTTCGTGAGTATCCGTAGTTCGCTCTTGTGATCGATAACTAACAACTTTGGTAATAAAATTAGTATTGCAACTACGTTAAGCGAACGCGGATTCGGAAACTACGGGCGCAAACCGTTGAACTATGGCGGTAGATGGCGCTTTTGGATGTTCTACATTGACGCGGTGTAATTTCTCGTAGTCTAACGATCGGATTGAGTTTTAAACAAAGTTGATACGATCGTAAACTTTTAAAAAACGCTGTTTGAACGCGAATTCGAAAGAGCGATAATCGGAAAAATCGAAATTTTTAAGTTTTCGGCATCGCTCAAAATTTTTTCAATTATCTATAGGATTACGAGTTTCAGCATAAGTACCTGAGGATTGTGAGTGTTCGGTATCGCTTCTCGGCCTATCGGCTAAGATCAAAGTGTAGTATCTGTTCTTATCAGCTTAACATCTGATACACCCTTCATCGAGGGGTTCTCATGTTAAACTAATTTTTGGAAAGTAGGCGGAGAATTTGGGGCTTGCTCCTACTCCGTCGCGGGTTGTCCCGGTCCTTAAAAGGACGGATCCTACGCCGCTTCCTTATTGTGATGTACACTATTAGTCTCATATACAATATTGCTGTGAATCACCATTTTCAATCGTTCATAATATACAATGTAATATCATTATGAATTTAACCTAAAAATGGGGTCCTAACGAGGCAAACGAGCAACAATCCTCTGTTCACAAATAATTTTTATTGTAACTACATTATTATTCAACACCGACAATACATCCAAAAAAATATTATTTTTTAATGTTAATGTGATTAAGTATAGGTGTAGTTTTACAATACGAAAAAAAAATAACAGCAACAAAACTAAAAATGTGAATACAAAAAAATAAAGTACATCTGTGGACAACTATAAACCATAACTAACGAAAATATTATTCTGAACAGAGTTCAGTTAATACTGTTGCTTCGTCAACAATATATATATTTCATACTATGGTAAAATAATAACAACAATAATAGTAAATAAAGCATGTACTTCTTTTGTTAAATTAAATATCGTATTTTTTGTAAACTTTATATAAACTGTAATTTACACAAAAGCCTACGATTGCAACAATACAACCAAACTGAAAACACTTACGAAAACAAATAGGTTGTCATTTTATTTTATCACATTTATCATGAGTTTATCAAAAAGTGACCACTATCTTTTATCAATATCGTTACAATCATTATAAAAATAAAAAACAAAAAACATTAATTGTGTTAAGAATTTATGATTTTCAATTTTTTTATTCATTCACGTGAAATTAGTTCTAAGTAAGTTATTTAATATACTACAAACATTTATTAGGTACTTATTAAAATATGAATGTTTCAAATTTTTTTTTAGCTGTTGTCATAGACAATGTCGATTGGATTGTCTATCAGCCTTCATGAACATCCCCAAATGACGAACCCTGCGGTAACATATTCAGTATTATATAAACAATTAAATTTTTCTTACATTAATTCAGTGTAAAATTATTGCAGTTTGATAATAATAAACAATGTCTCTTCATAATGAACGATTAAAAATACATACAGAACTGTGTGTATAGTTGGCAGAGGTCAATGCAGCGGTGGTGGTTCCATTCATCATTGGCGAACTTGGGGCCTGAGATCCATCCGACAACAATGATCTGTTTATTTCTGTTTTTATTATTACCATTATAGGTAATAGCTGCACCAAAAATATATATGTTTTCTTTAAAAAATTATGATTTGAGGAAACAAAATAGAAGCTTGAACACATTTCAATGTTATATTATAATGAAATTTAAATTAAGTACTATTTTTATATAACTCATTTAGAGCAGGAGGATAAAATTGAGGTAGTCAATAGGTGTCCTTGTGCTTAATAAACTAACACAAAATTGTAAAAAATGTAATACAGTTAAACCTGGCTAAATCGAATACCTTAATAAACCTAAATAAATGTTGTTCACTTGCAAAAACATTGATTACTCGAAAGAAATAATATATATAACTCGAACATCCTGTGTTCCAAATATAGTTGAATAATGATGGATAATTTGTATAATCAATTTTCAAATCAGCTTGTGCCTAATCATTTTTTAGCTGTAAAATTAAAAAAAAATAATAACAGTACATAGTGTTTAATTATATGTATATATAATAATTAAAAACTAATATGTACATACATTTTAAATTCTAAATCAAATTTTTCTTAAAAACCTTAGAAAGTCAAAAAATCGTATTTTGACTTATCGAAGTTCCACTATAACTATAAATAAATACTGTTTGCAAATAATTATTCTTGTAAGCCTGAGCTAGAGAATAAAGATAATTAATTATGGCCTTTTATACTTTTGTGACCTATACTATTGTGTCTTGTCACATTTCGGTTAAAACTATAAATTATTACTAAATTACTTTATTATTCATTGTTGAAATTTCTTAGAATTTACGATTCAACATTAGCTAATTTACAAATTCTTAATTGATATGCATCTAAAGGATATCCATGCTCATTGTCAATCTCATTGACTCTAGTATTATACAGAGGACTCACTGGTATCAATTTTTCCAGAAAAATAAACCACAAGATAACTAAATACACTAAATTACCATAAACTTTGCAAAGTACAAAATGGATGCATTTTACAATTTCGAATTAACTTAATTTAGCAATAGTGTAGCTTACTGATAATATTTTATTTAAATTGTGAAATGACTACTAGAAAACAGTTATACAAGATTTCTGTGTTTTCTAGAAATAACATGTTTCCCGGGAACACAAAAAAAAAATGAAGCTGATCAGGATGTTATAGCAGCCACACAAAGTGGACCAACAATATATAAATATTACAGCTATTTATGAGGCCATTTCAAGTTTTTACTCGGCCAACAAAACTCATCTAAAAGTCTCTCTGTTTTCTGTAATAATTAATTATTTAAACATGTAATTTTTGTGTGAAAAGAAACTAACATACATTTGATATTACAGTTGGACCAGTAGTAGTTACTGTCTGTAATTTGGTAGTATACAACAAAATACTAGCTGTCATAGGAAGATTCTAAGTTGACAAAAAAAATTGAAACCATCCAACCAAAATTAGGTACTGTAATTTATTAATATTTATAATCATTCCTATTTGATAACAATCATATTATATTTAGATCTAATTGTTCAAATAGACCTGTTGCAATGAGTACATACCATTAAAATGATACTGGGAAGATTAAAAACATTGATATAGTTACAATTTGAATTGTCTAGGATTGATCAAGCAATTGGTTGAATGTAATAATTAGGTATGTACTCCTTTTTTTTTTTTTTACAAGGAGAAATTATTTTGTAAGTACAGCTTCAAAGTGATATCATAGATGATTTATGAATCGCATAACATATAATTTTTGACAAAATTGAATAAAAATTAATCTAAATCTGAAATTATAAAAAAATTAATTTTTAAATTTTTTCATAGGAGGCTACTGTATTACCGTATCTACCTGTGTTTTATTGAATTTTGACTTGAGCTTATCAAATTATTTCAGAATAGAGCAGTCACTTTTTATGTTCAAGCAAATCATTCAGTACTAATGGGAATTGAGCTGCCATGTTTATGGATTAGTTTGTCAGCAGTTCTACCAAAATAAAAACCAGTTTACATTAAAAGTAAATACTTTGTTATATATTTATTATATAAGTACATGCTAGCACAAATATTAAAATATCATGTATATTAAAACAAATTGTTTGAGATTAATACTCAATAAAGTACAAAAATTTAAAGTAAATTAATAAAAACAACAATTTATAGGTTTTAATATAAAATTAACCTAAACACACCTAAATTGACTTACAAACTTCTATATGATATTTTTAAGTTTTTTTTCTTATGATAATTATTGAAGCCTTGTAGTATTTTGTACTTTTATATTTTGTTTAAAACTAAAAATAGAAATATTATTTTTAGAAAATTCACAATAACAATTTTATTAATATATTTTGAACCAATATTTGGAACTGTATAATACTAGCAATTTAGACCTATACTTGCAAATGAGAGTGTGGGACTGAACAAACTTCATGAATCCTCCAGAAATGAAAAGTATGAGAAATAAACCAAAAAAAAAAAAAAAATTGTTTTTGATTTTATCATTGGTCACCTAAATTTAAATTATTTCCAAAATGGTTTGTACCATAAACAGTTTGTGAACCTCTACTTTAAATTGATTCACCAACAGTTCCATTAAAAAATAATATTAGTAAATTCATAGGATTGATCACTAGTAAATATCTGCAATACTTAAATTTTATTTATCAAATAATTATCTAGGATTTGTAAAAACAATTTATAATGTTTGTTGGGCTCTAGAAATTATTACTAAAATATTGATCAGAAAAATAATTATTTCCAATGTCAATTTATTTGTGTTAAACTCTGTATAATTGTGTACACCCCCTAACAAAAAAAAAAACAAAAAAAACTAAAGTTTTAGAAAAGAACAAAAAAGTAGTTTGTATATATGATTCAATTTAAAAAAAAAATCATGATCAGATAATAGAACAACCAAGACTAAAATTGAATACAAAACCATATGAGGAATACTTTGATAAATTACTATTTTTACACAGTGAGTACATCAACTGCATTAGAAGATATGGTAAAATGCAGCAAGATGATGGATTTAAAAAAATTATTATTATGTACAAAATATTAGGGTTGAATATTATTTTTATAATTTGTACATTCAAGATATTTTTGAACTTATTTTCCTTAACCTCAATTTAAATATGAAAAGTTATTATTATTAATACTCATTATTTATATCAAAATCAACAGTATAAGAATTATTTTAAACATACCTCGCAAGAATAATTAAAATTAACCTACCTTTAATTAATTTTGAAGATTTGTTTTTTGTTTCTAATTTTTAAGTTTCTAATAGTTTTTCAGTATACAGTATAATTACAATTAAATTACATTTTTGTAACAATGTTAAGGAAAATAAACTTAAAAAAATGTTGAATCTATTGATAGATTTTTAAAATAATAATGTTCTGTGTTAATATTTTTTAATTTTAATAAAACTTCTTTAATCTCATTTAGTTTTACAATTTTTTCAGCCTGGTTCACATGGTCAAACATTTGACTGTGAACCAAGTTTACAGATGGAATTTGTTTACTCCTAACGTTCAGAATAGTAATTATTCAATGTATTCCTTATATTAATTTTATTTTCAATATTTTCAGTTTGTATTATATTATTGTGTACATATTTTCAACATGTACACAATTAAGTACTATGGGTTTGGTGTTGTATTATCATGTTAAATGTTCACAGGTAAAAACAGAAAATTCAGAAAAAATCTTACAAGTTGTTGCAGACCATGAGATAATAAAAAATGAATGGGGAATTTGAGAATGGTAAAAAAACATTAATCATCAAATCATAGACAGATGAAAATATTGACTGTTGAAAATAATGAAATATAGGCAGCCTCAAAGCATTTAAAATTTGAATTTCTGATATAATACTTTATGAATAACATTTTAATTTTTATAGTTATAAAAATTATTTAAAGCCTAATTAAAAAAAAAAAGTAAATAACCCAGATAGAAAAATTCATAATATAATATTGTTAACAATGACATTTCATTTTTAATGATTAATATTATTTAATGACTTAAATAATTTCAAATTAAATACAAAATTAATATTATAGAAAACTGTTTGACTGCAATGCAATTATTCTTTATAATTATAATATTTTTGTTTAAAAAAATAACATTAAAACATAATTATTCTTATTATAATTATAATTGTTTAATTTATCAATATTTACTTTAGTACCTAATAATAAACTCGTTTGTCTATATTTTTCTTTTTGATGTTTCTTCACAGTCAACATTTAAATCTGTTGATATTTCATACTTTTTGGTATTTTGATTGTAGAATTTTAATTTATTTAATGTTTCAAGATATATCTTTTAGTTTAGTGAAGTAATGTATCTAGTATTTGTATATTTGATAAAATATAATTTTTGAAATATTTCATAATTGTTTTAAATTAAATTACAAGGTAGATAATACCTACCTCACATTGAATATAAATAAAAAAAAATTATTTCATTGAATTATACA